ATTCCTGCACTGAGCAGTGGGCTGGAAGTCAGTGTCCTATGGGACCCTTTCCAACTATATGATGCTTTGATTTTTGGCTGCATCTGCACTGCAGAAATAATCCAATTTGTTATGGAATTCTTGGAATTGTAGTTTTGTGAGACACTTAGCCTTCTTTGTCAGAGAGCTCTGGTGCCACAACAAACTATTATTTCTATTATTCTATTTTTCCAGATAAAGAAATAGGAAACTAAACAGCATGCACATAAATCAGCTGGGCTGTTTTTGCACTGCAGAAATGATTCAGTTTGACACCACTTTAACTACCATAATTCAGTGCATGTTGTTCCACCAGAATTCTCTGACAGGGAAGGCTAAATGTCTTACAGAACTACAATTCCCCAAATTCCATAGAATTGAGCCATGGCAGTTAAAGTAGTGTCAAACTGGATTATTTCTGCAGTGTGGATGCAGTTATGATTCTATGTTTCTATAAAGGCAGAAGAGTGGGCCTTTTCTAATTTGGCAACCGTGATTGCAAATAGTAGGAAGCAAATATTTCAGAAATAACCTCTGAGAACATTTTTGTAACATAACATCTTTGTGCAAGGGAATGAGAGAATGAGTAAACAGGGTTCTGTGTGGTGCCTACATTACAAAGGCCATTTCACGTCATCAGAGTGAGATTTTTTACACTTGAGGCTGAGGAACGAAGCTCAAGCTGCCTCCAGACTTTCTCTCTTTCATCTCGCATCATCATTATCTCTGCATTTTCACGATTGGTAGTGCATCCTAAACAGCTCAAGTAGCCCACATCTTGAAAGGATTTGAAGGCCTCACAAAAGCATGAAATGTAACCCGGAGCCAGGGGTCATGTTTTTCAGCCATCATGCTGTTCAGCAAAGGTGCTTGCAAGGTTGAAGAGCTGGGAATAAAAAGAAGTTGGAAGCCTGGACCTGACTGCTCTTGTCGATGCAATGGCTTTTCAACACAACTCAAACTGGTTGAGGCTGTTGTGAGGCTCCAGGCAGCAAAAGAAAACAAGAAACAAAACCCACCTCCAAGGTTGGAACAAGTTCTCCATTTAACAACAAAAACAGGTGAGGAACGCTCTTGTTCAGTTCTGTACAGGCAGCTCAGGGGCACCTTAAGATGCCAATAAAAGTGCTCTTGGCACAGAAACAATTAGCAAGCATTCTGATGGAAAATGAAATACCTGCATCCTTCTCTTCAGTGAGGGTTTATTTTCTACTAGAAGCAGCAGCAAAAGCATCATGTTGGTGGTAATTTGTTGTTATGTACCTTCCAGTCAACTCCAACTTATGTCAGTGCTATCATAGGGTTTTCTTGGCATGTTTTATTCAGAGGAACTTTACCATTGCCTTCTGAGGCTCAGTGAGTGTAACTTCCCCAAGGTCACCCAATGGATTTTCATGGCTGAGTCAGAATTTGAACCCTCTTCTCCTAAAGTCTAAGTCTGACACTCATACCACTACACCATGTGAACACTTCATTGGGAATAAATTCTGCTGAACTCACTGGGACCTGCTTCTCTACTGGTTTGCATAGGAGGTAGGTGCTTGTTATAGACCTTCAAAGCAACTCTGACGTATGACACCCTCTCCTAGGGTTTTCTTGGCAAGATTTCTTCATAGAGGGATTTACCATTACCTTCGTCTGAGAGAGTGTACCCAAGGTCATCTAACGGATTCCTTGGCTGGGCAGGGATTTGAACCCTGGCTCCTGGAGACCTAGTCCAATACTCAAACCATCATGCTATGCTGGCTTGTAGTAGTTATGTGCCTTCAAGTTAACTCTTTTGGAAACCTTATCAAAAGGTGTTCTTGGCAAGATTTGTTCAAAGGCAGTTTGAAAGACTTCCTGTCCTCCACTGTTCTGCTTAATTCCTACAAGCTCATACCTGTGACCTCCCAAATAGAGTCCATCCATCTAGCATGCTGCCTTCTTCACTACTTCCCTCCATGGGATCCTCAGCACTCTTCTCCAGCACCACATCTCAAATGAATTGATTTTCCTCTTATCTTCTTTTTTAACTTTGATAGCCATGTTTAATATTTGAAGGGATGACATATTGAGAATGGAGCAAGCTTGCTTTCTGCTGCTCCTGAAACTGAGACACCAGGCAATGGTTTCAAACTACAGGAAAAGAGATTCCACCAAAACTTTAGGAAGACCTTCCTGACAGTAAGAGCTGTTCAACAGCAGAACACACTCCCTTGGAGTGTGGTGGAGTCTCCTTCTTTAGAGATTTTTTTCAGCAGAGGCTGGATGGCCATCTGTTGGGATTCTGTATTCCTGCATGGCAGGAGGTTGGACTGGATGCCTTTTCCAACGCTATATTTCTATGATTTTAAAATGGAAGTGTTAATAGGAATGAACGGTTTTCAGTGTTTGACTCTCTGTGATGCTAGAAATTTAGAGACTGGAGGAAAATTTCATTAGGGAGCAGATTTTTTTGGTAGAGGTCAGTGTCTTCATTTTGTCCCACCCCTACAGCTACACTTCTGTCTCCTCCTGATGCAAGTTTTTTTCCCCCATGGCTGGTGGAACAGTTATTTGTTTTCCTAAGTAAGAAATCTCAGATTATTTAACCACTCATCTGTACTCTTTGCTGACTCAAACTTAGCAATGTGCGAGAATTTAATTCAGTACATTTTTTAGGGCAAGAACTTGTGAAAATTCACTAATTCAAAAATGCATGCATTTGCAAGCTACTGCACCATAGTAAAAGTGTGCTTGATAAACACATACATTTGAAATAAAAATACATTGAAATGTGTACATTTGAAATATCTGTATTAAAAATATAAACAGATGTGATTCATTTGTTTTACAGTCACCCCTCCATTTTTGTGGGGGATCGGCAAATATTCAAGCCCCATAGGCTTGAATGGGGGCACACACCCACAGGCACCTGTGGGCACATGCTGCAGGCATGTGTCTCATTTTGTCCCCCTCCATTTGCCACCTGTGAACAGGTGAGGGACTCAGACTTCACATCCGCAAAAGTGGAGGGGCAACTGTATATCATTTTTATTAAGCTTAAATAAATCACAAATACATTTTATAGGTATATCTAAAACACAAACAATGATAACAAAACAAACTAAATTTAACTACCAAACAATAATAAACATAGATTACTGACGCCCCCATCCCAACTGATGAGTATATACTATTTATCTACTTCCTTTTTATATGATAATATATTTATGCCTCTACAACGTACCAACACTGTTTATTTTACAAAACTTAAAGTAGATTCTTATCCCCAAGGAGGCTGCAAATATGTAATAATTCCCAGTCTTTCTAGACAAGTTTTATTTAATTTGAGAAAAATCTGTACATTACAAGAAACCATACAATAAATATGTACATTTAGAATAATGCACACAGAAATATTTACAAATTTCCATTTCAGATTTTTTAAAAACAAACAATAACACTGTTTAATGCACACTTCAGTGAGAACAAGTTTCAGGATGAAAAGTGGAAAAGGTTGATGTAGTCAAGTGTTGTTCATCCACAAGTCTTTCTTCCTGCTTTTTTCAACAAATAAGCTATAGACAAATTAATTTTCCCCTCTCATCCTTTTGATCAGGTTCTCCCTTTTGAAGTCTTCTCATTGGTTCCTACTTGCTATTCACACTTCTTTGAAAAATATCTTCTTTATCTTTAAAGTTTTGTCTACCTTCCCAATTTTATTTTCTGTCCCACTACTAACTCATAGATTTCACCTCTCTATTTCATCTCACTTAAGCAAGCAATGACCAGGACACCTTCTCTAATGCTAGGATGATTTAGCATGCCACAAGGTGGACTTGAAAACTTCAGCATTTGCAGGAGATGCCAGTCTTTGATTTAAATCCAGTTTCTAGTTGAAAGAATATACCCCAGAAGGTGACTGGGAATGATGCAACAGCCAGAATTCAGCATCATACTTACAGATGAGTTATCTGGAATTATGCATTCATAGCGGATGTATATTTGTGGTCCCTATGTAGTGATAGTCATAGCTGACCCCCTTGGTCTATTTTACATCAGCCCCAAAGAGAGAAAGGGATAAGTTCAGCTAGCAATGGGGGTACAGACAGATGATGTTGCCACCCCTTCTCAACAGGCAGTGAGGTTGCAATGATCAAAAGTTTCATTGGCTGACAGAAAGAGGTGGAAACATACAGTTGCCATTTGTCCTAGAAAACCCTGGAAAATCTAGGATTGAAAGGGCTAAAAATGTCCCAGTCTGCTGGGCCAATAGAATCAGTAAATCCCAGATTTATCCTTTATTTTAGGCTGATGGTAGGTTAAAATATGGCAGGGGAGATGAAGCAACTGCAAGAAGACTGGAACTAGTGGGAGCTTTTTCTTTCTCTACAGGCTCCAGTTGCTACTGCATAGGGGTAGCCTCACCACCTTATTCATCTGTTCCTTCTCTTTTCCCCCAAAAGGCCCAGAAGTCAGGAAAAGAAAGGGGACAAGCAGAAATGGCCTTGTGTTGTGTGGCAATTGTGTCAGCAGCTTGA